TTTTTTTTTTTTTGTCGTATGCCTGTTTTACGATGTGGGGGTCCGATTGTTCCTGTCTCTCAGTGGCGCCATCTAGGGCCAAGAATTCGACTTCTGCCACGCCATTCACACAACCACAACCCGTTTATAGGGAGGGTCACGCTCACACNTTTTTTTTTTTGTCGCATGCCTGTTTTAGGTTGTGGAGTTGCGATTGTTCCTGTCTCTCAGTGGCGCCATCTAGGGCCAGGAATCCGACTTCTGCCACGTCATTCACACAACCACAACCCGTTTATAGGGAGGATCACATTCACACACAAAGGAGAAAGGACATAGAACACACGGAGAGGGAAAGAAACATCCATGCCCTGCCCGGGATTCGAACCCAGGAACTTTCTGATGCAAGGACAGTTCCCTGCCCCCTACACAGGCCGGTCGGCAACACATTTCGTTAAAAAGTGTTAATAGAATATACATTAAGGTATAGCTGATAAATTCATATAAACTATTTATTGTTTTATAAGAACTTTTACTTATTATAATAAGTGAGCTTTAGTTTTTATAATGTAAAAGATAAATATGTAAGATTTTTCTCTTCTTTTAGTAAGAATTTTCTGAAACCATGTAATTTAGCCATTATCTTAGGGTTATAATAAACAGTTAATAATAAAATTTTGTGCCCTTTTAATTAGGAGCTGTGCAAAAAATAAAAATTGATATCAAAAAACAAACACAAGATGAGAAAATACACAGTGTTATTAAAAAATAGGAATTCATAACGTGAGTCAATGTGGTCAATGTTCATGGATGAGCAATATATGCGGCCCTCGGTCTTAACCAAAAATCAATTGGTAATGAATTGGTAATGAATACATCACTAGATTTAAAAAAAAATCTCTAGATTAATGTCTAGATTAAAACTCTTTATAAAAAAATTTGAAGAAAAGAAAATTAAGTTTTAATTAAAGGTTTTTAAAACGTAGTGGTGTTTATAAAGGTGTGAAAAAGACTTAAATAATTCAAATTGTTTTTAATTTTTTTCCTGTGGAGAGCAAAAATTTTTCAGACAGCAAAATAAATTCGATATTATAACGGATTTCGTTATATACTTAATCTTACAAGCCAAAACTAGGAAATTTCGCTACTGGCCAAGTCTTAGCCGTAATGAGGTACAGCATGGCCAGATGGTGATGAATTTTTAGTCAGTGATGAATTTTTCAGAAGTCAAAAAAGAAAAGAAAAAAAAATGTTGATATTAATAATGTAACATGATAAGATTCATTTCTAAAATGAGGAAAAAATTTAAGAAACAGGAAGGAAATTATCGATTGTAATTTTCAGAATACTAGGAGGCTTCGCCCCCTGCTCGCTAGCGCTCGCCAACTCCCGGAACTGCTTTCGCAGTTCCGAGATCCAAAACAAGGCAAACGTTGCCATCGGCGGAAAAGAAAAGCAACCACAATTTGGGAGCCACGTAAGAGAATTATATATATTAGATTATAAAATATTCATAATACTTACACATTTATTAATGTCAATAATAATAAGAATAATACTAAGAACAAGAAGAAGGTGAGAAAAAATGCACATGAGATGAATTTTCAATTAAAAAAGAAAAAAAAAAGAGGCAATCGAATAAGCAGACATTTTTTAAATCGCCAATTCGCTAATTTAATCGCCAATTCGCCAATTTAGTCGCCATGTGGCCGATAGTGACAGCTAGATTTGATTTACACTTAATTTGCTTGAATTTATTCTTCGATAAATTGAGTATTTTGTAGCAAAAGTTAAAATGATGTGCAAAAAAGATGGAATAAACATCTGTGATGAAGATAATAGCAATAAATATTTCTTATTTAGTTAGGCGTGGAGCAGTTTCATAAGTATTTTTTATGGAGAAAGAATAAAAATGAATTAAATTAGAAAATTCTAATAAATATAACTTACACCTGGATACCATAAGGGCCGTAATTTTTCGTAATCTTCCTGTCCGGCAGTGTCCATGAGAGTTAAACTGACCCGTATATTGTCTACTTCCATGTACCCCTCAAAGGTTTCAAATCTGAAAAATTGATTAAATAAATAAATAAATAAAATGAAGAAAAGGAAAGATACTTAGGTATAAATCATTTGTCCACATACATAAATTTTTTCAATTCAGTATTCTTATAATATCTGGCTTAGTTTACTACACCATTTGATTACATTATATTAAGAACGTATTAAAATTTGTGTTGGATGCAGTGTATGCAGATATTGTGTTGGATGCAGATTTTTCGTGGTTTTTCTTTCCATGCAAGGCAAATGCTGGTCAGTTCCTTTAAAAAGTCCACCACGAAGGCTAAGAGTTGATCATTGATGGTCGTAAATTTGAAAAGGCAACCCAATTCTGAGTTTATGGCTACCATTGTTCAAATCTGTAACCTTATATTTTTATTAGGAAAAATACGCCTTCGTAGAGGACTTTTTTATGGAACTAAAATGCATTTACGTTACATAGAGAGGAAGACCACGAGAACCTCTAATACTAGGGTATTTAAATTTCAATATTAATATATTTTTCATAAAACTATTGTTACACAATGTACTATTACTTCAATAAATGTTTAAAATCATAAAATAAATGTACAAACACAGTATCTAATNGATGCGGAATTCATATCGAACAGCCATCACAGAGATTCGAACTCTGTTCACCTCATTGAGAATCGATCGTTCTATCCCCTGAGCAACCGCGGTTTATCCAGTCTAAATTTTTATTTTGATACATCCGATGTTAAACAGCTGACCCAATTTTGGGTTTACGACTACTATTATTCAACTACGAAGCCTTGTAATTTTGAACCAATCCAGAAGACAAGGAAACTCCTGGATCAGTACCCTCAGAGGTATGATTTGTTATGGGAACATGGAGAACTTAGTGACTCGACAGATTTAACGTGCATCAGTCACCATTAACTGGGACATGGGCCCAGTGCACTACCAACGAGACTATCCCGACCTATCCAGTCTAAATTGCACCAATCATATACTCAATTTCACAATGCATATTTGCTATAAATTTTCATTTTGATAAAAAATAAAAATATAGTCGGGACAACGTAAGAAAATATTTTACGCTACAAATACAAGTTTGCTACTAGAATACTTAAGGATAAACCATTTATTTACTTAAAAAAGTAAATAAAAATAAAATAAAAAGTTGATGAAGAAGAAGGAAGGAATATATTCATCCTCCTGCCTAGGACCGTAATTGTTTGAACTATTTAAAATTAAAACCTTTAAGCAACGAGAACGGTTTAAACAACTTAGACTAGCTTCATATTACGAACCTCGCTTTATTCAGACTCGATGATGAAATTGTATATTCGAAGTTGTTCTAGTTTTATTAGTCGGATAAATTGTATATTCAAAGTTGTTCTTGTTTTATTAGTCGGATAAAATCTTTAAAAAAATTGGAGTTATTATTACATAGTGGTTCTAAGTTCTGAAAAATCTACACAGTTTGACCGATTCTCATTATTACTTTCATCACCGATTGGTAGATGTGTGTGTGTATTCGAAAACCAAAAAATCTTCGAATTAATTATTTAAAAACCTTGTATATTGCAGAAGTGTATAACTGTTTCAACTTCGTGACAATTTTATTCCCATTAATTTTCCAGGTGTGAATGCAACTAAAAAGTTGAGTCACTTGACTTCAATATTATATGTTTTACATGAACTAATATTTTGAAGAGCAACTTAAATTGCTCACAATAGGATAATCGATGAACTTACACAGTTGGTATGATGTCTACTGGAAATTCTCCGAAGGTGTAAGATATGAGTAAACAAGTTTTACCAACAGTTCCGTCTCCCACTACAACCAATTTGATTGGTCTGTTGTCGAGCTCTGCCATAGCCTGTAAAAACAAAATAAAAAATGACATTATCCAATGATCGCAAATCAATAGTTTGATAGCGCTTGATGTTTCCTAATGATTAAGTGAGAAAAAATTGCTATTAACGACATATTTTAAAATCAGGGATTCTAAATTTAACTTAACTTATCGTTATAAAAGAATATGTAGATAAAAAAAAGTGTCGATATATGCTTTCACTTTTCTTAATAATTAAAGTTAAAACTGAACTTTTTAGAATAAAGTATTAATAGTGTCATTTTCGCCAACTAGTAAAACATTTTCATAAATTTAAAATGGTATTTTTTTAATATAATAACCAAGAGAGTTTTTTTGAACTATGTTTATGAGCGGAAATAATGTGTTAATTACGTAAAGTTTGATAACCAGATAAAGTCTAATAACCAGAAAAAGTCTAACTTATTTTTACAAAGAGAAAGATGCAAAGTTATCATATATTTGCTTGCAATCTCCGAGATCTGTGGACCCAGTGACGTCATGAAGAGGGAAATCATAGCTTCAGCTCTAAGAGCGGAGTGAACTAGCCCTTGTATATTCTCTTTAGCCCTGGACAACGCCACTAAATTAGTATTCCTGAATTTATCTGAAACCATGTGTTTATTTTGGATGTGTTTATTCATAATGGAGAGGTTGTTGTAAAAGAAGGTTGTACTAAAAAACGTCATGTCATATTTTCCGAGAATTCAGCATTCTTGAGGGGAATCGTAGACTCAACCACAAGTACTATGCACAAGTCATAAAATTACAGTTCTGATTCAAAATATTAGAATAGTTGAAAAATTCGACATTGAACTCTCTTTTTTTATTTGTTTTTTACATACTTAAGTTAAATTACTATTGAAAGAATCAAGTCTACGTATTTCACGGTATATTTAAACTTAAAAAATTAAATGTAAAAATAAAATTTTATGTGGTCCGAATTTTTTTATTAAAAACACTAAAATTCTGTTATAAACGGATAAAAAAAATTACTTAATATTTTGCAGCTTTGATTACTGCATTTAAACGAACTTTCATAGATAAAAAAGTTTTTGGCCGTCTTTTTTGTTTACATTGGCCCAAGTGTGCTTAATGCTCAGCACCAGCTCAGCTTTGTTTTAATTTCTTGCAGTTTTTTCTCTACTATACCCCATAAATTTTCAGAATCTGGCGAATCTGTTGAATTGGCTGGCTACTGTGATTTTGTAACACTGTAATTTTGCATCGGTACAGCCAGATTTTAGTTGATTTTGTTATATGAAATGAAGCTAAATCTTGTTGGAAAATAAAATCATCCTCAGATATGTCTTTTGATGATAGAATCATGCAGTGCTCGAGAAAATCGGAT